TCATTGTTTAAAAAGATTTCATAGTCATCTTTTCTCAATTTAATCGTTTCAGGTAGTATCATTAATATAATATACGAAACTGTAGTAATAAGAATCGAATATAATGTTCCTTTTGGTATTGAAGCGCTAGAATCCTAAAAAAATATTGAGATTATGAGATCTGTTGTCAAATTAATATTATTATTATAATACTATATTGATATAACATTACTTTRAGATCTTCYGGTGAATATTTTACTCCAGCGTTTATACTAGTTACAGTTGGGAAGAAACGCGTGAAAATCATTAAAAAGTATTTAAAATTTTCATAATCTAAATAGTTTTTCACTGGGATATAAYGCGAACTCATGTTAATTACAAATAATAATTAATAAACACAAATAAAATATATTACTGTTATATCCAGTGAAATCGGGTGCCATTTCTAAATCACTTTTTGGRCGAATATATGAGCCAATAATTAAGTTAAAAATACCAACAATTATCGTTATTAGCAGAGCATATTGTACCTAAAATAAAAATATAATTCAATTTTTAATAATTTATGAAATAATTTATACATACTTCAGCTTCTATATCCATGCCTATACAACCAAGTATACTCATAATTACTATAGATACTACTCCTAATGCTCCAGTTGATAAGTTTGAATTTATTATATTGAGTATATCATTTGAATATAGTGATGAATATAAAAATGAACAAAACATATTTGTGTTCAAAACCACTGATAAAATGTTAGCAAATGCTAATATAATACCAATCGACGCACCAAATTCCGGACCAATTGATCGGGAAAGAATGAAATAAAGACCTCCTACACAGATAAAATAATAATTAATCAATAAATAAAACTAAAACATAAAAAGTATATTTTTACTATAGAAATAGTGAAAGGAGATAGAAGTAAAGGTAATGTTACTGTAGTATTGTTTTTTTTTAATATCCATCAACTTAAAAGGTATCTTGAATTACATTTAAAAGGTTTTTAGTGCTAACAAAATGGAGGTGATTGATGAACATTGGTTTTACAACGATATTTTACGTATAACGCTTAATGTGTGGGGCGTGGGTGTATATCAACTATTAAGGTATATTCTGATTATTTCAGTAGTTTCTTCAGTGTAAAACATGGTAAATCTAACCTAATATAMAGAGATTTATTTTAAACAAATACTTCACAATTATGCATTTACATTTTTACAATGGGTTTCTGCAGGTGAGTTTAAACATTAAAAATAATATCAGACACTAAAAATATTCATGTACAAAGTTATA